CAATGCACCAGCACTCTTCAGTGCTGACACTGAGTTGCAATGTGTTCGTTAACCAGTGATAGCCTGCAGTTTGAATGGAGTCCGTACTGACAAATCACTGCTGCTGATTTGCTAATGTAACACAGCAGGTGTGGACATTAGATATGATCTCAAAACCAATTCTCATTTGCCCTACTCAGTGGAACCCCAAGGAGCAGGGTTTGCTTTCCACAGCTGTAAGGCAACATGTCTGCAATGTTACAGGTTTCCGCAGGCCCAGGACTAGTTACAGGCTTAATACAATGAAGTCAGGGACACTTGCTGCAGGACAAATGGTTGTGAGCAAGCTACCTAAGGACAACAGCAGAATTTCTCCTGCCTCTTCGAGTAGCTGGCTACTAGGCTAAGGGGGAATATTTAGGTATTAATTTCCCGCATCATTTCAAGTGGCTTTGTTAGTTCAATGCCCAATAGCAAAACCCTAAATTAACAGACTGCACTTGCCAAAATCATGACGAGTTTGGGAGGGCATTGCCTATCAAGTGCCTATTTGTAAGGTATTAATGCTACTTAAAACCATAAATAACAGTTTCCATGGTGAAGGGAGGGGAAGGAGTAGCTGAGCTAAGAGCTGTTTTTGGCATGTGTGTAGTGCCACAACATAGTGAAGGTGGAAACTGACTCATTCAAAGCAGTTGTCCATGAATCTGAGTAAAGATTGGAACAGAACATACGCATTGCCAAACTGGGTCGGTATCTATCTAGCCCAGTATCCTGTCTTCAGACAGTGGCCAATGCCAGATGCCCCACAGGGAGTGAATAGAAACAGGTAATCAAGTAATCCCTCTGCGGTCATTCATTTCTAGTTCCTGATAAACAGAGGCTAGGGAAACCATTCCTACATGTTCTGGATAATAAGAATTGTTGGACCTAACCTCCATTAATTTATCTAGTTTTTTTGAACTGTTAAAGTCCTGGTCTCCACAACATTCTCTGGCAAGGAGTTCCACAGGTTAATTGTGAGCTGCATGCAGAAAAACTTCCTTGTTTTAAACCTGCCACCTATTAATTTCATTTGGTGTCCCCTAGTTCTTTTGTTGTGGGAACAAGTAAATAACTTTTCCTTACTCGCTTTCCCCATGCCTGTCATGATTTTATAGACCTCTATCATATGTCTTCCCTTAGTCAGCATCTCCTATTTTTCTCTCATTTAGTACCCCAATCAGAATAATCTCTTCAATGAGAGTATATTGATAGGGGAGCTAAAATGCTTTTAGTATAGACAATGTTAATAATGTAAGTGTATTTAGCAGACCCATCCTTTGCTGCTTCCAAAGGGGTCCAATAGGAATGTTTTAGTTAGCTAGTCTGAGACAGATGCGATGCCATTTTCTCTCTGCTTGTTTTCTCGGTGTCTTCTGTTCACTCATAATGGGTCAAGAGTTTTGCTCTGTTACAGGGTTGCTCTGCCTTTGTATGAGAATATAGCTTAATCTACCACTGGCTATTGTTGATTTTCTCACAATGGTTTGGACATCCATGTAAATGGTAACAGTGCTGGATGTCGGGTCTGCTATGCAGGGAGAGATGCGAGTGGGGAAATTGTGGAGATTGTTGAGAACTAAATCCAGAGCTTTGCAGTTAATTATGGATCTGCAGGGGGTGCTATGCGCCTGTGTTTGCCAAGGTTTTGTATGGGTCAGATGGAATTCTGTCAAATACTCCCATCTGTTTGAGTTTGAGAGGGTGGTTGTATTTGCCAACTCATCGCTTTTTTGTGTTCTTGTATTTGGTGCTTGTCACTAGTTTAGTGTTGTAATAAATCTAGATGAGATAAATCATTCACTTTTTCCTCCTGCAACACAGAGAAGTCAGAAGTGAGACACAGGTTTGGTGCACAGACCACCGGGAAACAGCTCCCAAGTAAATCTGAACTTGTCAGAATCTCATAATGGGAGAGGTGATCAGATAGTTTAGTGGGTTGTGGGTTTTTTTTTCCTTCCACTGTTGCTAAGTGGCTCAAAGCCCAGACAGATTGCAATTTTCCTTTGCTGTAGCAAAAACCTGGTTTAGTAAGTGTATCTTACAAATTTCCGTCTTGGCCAAGTCTGGGGAAACTCGCCAGACTTGCTTCTGTTGGGTCTCAAATACATGTAAGGACAAGCACTTTCAAAAAGAGGTGCTCAGAAATGAGGCATCTAAGTAAATGGGAGCTGCTGAATTCTCAGCACCTGAAAAATTGGGCTACAAAAGCCTGGATAGTTAAAGGTATTTAGGTATTGCTGTACTCAGCAGTGTCAATGGGATTTATACTCCTAAGTGCCTAAGCACAGTTTAAAATAAGGCAGAAGCTCCTAAATCAGTTAGGTGTTATGCCACAGCATAGCAATGCCTAAATACTTTTAAAAATCTGGACCTAAATAAGGTCCTGAGATGCCGCATCCCAATTGAATCTAAATGTCACAATTTTTTAATTGTTATTCTTATAGCTCCCCTGCAAGGCAGTGAATTACAATCATTCCTGTTGTACAGACTGTATGGCCCTGATCCTCAAAGGCACCGAGGCCTCTAATTCCCATTGTGATCTCAAAGAGAGTGAGGCTCTTAGATACCTTTGGATCAGCTTTCCTCTTCAGGATAGGGGAGGATGTAGGAGTGCCAGTATTTGAAATTGTTGACCGTAACCTATTCCTTTCATAAGTGGGAGTGTGGGGGAATCTTACATCAGCTCTTATCCTCAGCATGTGAAATCTGAATTCTTTCAGTTTCCAGCTGGAACCAGCCAATTCCCTGGTATAATTGTTGGTGGGTGTTCCTGGTATAATTGTTGGTGGGTGTTTTGGGAACACCAGCTGATGGCAGAAATCCAGTTTTTGGAATGATATTGACTAGAGGTTTATTTAAATTCCCCTTTTAAACTGAGAGCCTCACCCTGGAGGCAGTTTAACATTCTGGAACCTTCCTTTAGTGTCGCACTCTGGCCTTGTGGTTGTTTGAAGTAGCAGGAGCAGTAGAATGAATGCTGTGGGAACTGAGTGGATTTTCTCTCTTGCCATCCATATCTGCAGAAAGACAATCCTGTATATATTTACATCACATTTTAAAAAAAAGTTACTCTGGAGTCTCTCACTAGGTTCCTATTTTTAAACAAACGTTGACTTTTCTCAGACAGATCTGTTTCTTGCTGCCATGAGGGGATAGGGGCTGAGGGAAGGTGCAGAAATAGCACATGCTATTTCTGTCTGATGTTGCTTTTAATAGATTTAATTTTTTTTCCCATACACTGAGTGGTTTCACATTTATATTCCCAAAGACTTTATAATCTCTGGCCGTATGCTGACTAATATTATTTTTAGAATTTATTCTAGCTCTTCGGTGCCGTTGAATGAGTTGAAAGTTCAGCATAAAAATTCATTGCTGCATTTTTTTTTTCCCACCCCATATCCATCTTTCATCTGCGAGCAATGAATTGAGTTGTTATCAGCATCTCTTTCACCAGTTGTGTTGACGGGCCAGACTGTATTTGTGATTGCTGTAGGAGAGAGAGAGGTGTTGTACAATGGAGCACCATGCAACCAACACATGCTTTTGACTGTCCTAACATCTTGTTGACTTTAGGTTGACCAAT